TCTATTTTTCTATTCTCCAGGCTGTCTCTGGTGAATTTTTTCAAACCCATGTGTCTGGCCTCATCCCGATAATACACCTCCACAATAAACTGGCTCCTAATTTCTGGATATATTCCAATATCCCAAAGTATTTTTAAATTAAGTTCTAAAGAATTGACAAAAAATTTACTTTGGCCCTCATTTCTATCATTTCTAGAATTAATCTAATGGGATCTTTTCTGTTATTTTTTTTTTTTTTAAGATTTATTTATTTATTTATACAAGCACTGGGTACAGTCAGAAGTGTGGGAGGGTGAGAGAATTCACCAGAGCCAGAGCAGGGGGAAGAACAGGCAGAAAGACTGAAGTACACTGCTGAGGTGAGCAGCGGGCGGCAGGAGAGGTCTGCGTGTGCCATGTGGGACCCTCGCCTGGGGGCCGGGGATCGAACCGGCGCTGCAGAGGCTGCAGGCAGCTTCACAGCACAGCGCCCAACAACTGTGCCACCCTCTTCTGTTATTTTAAATTTATTTTAGCTCCTGAAAATATTTTAGACCAAGTCAACCTATATTGTAAAATTCTTCAGTCAATCCAAGGAAATATCCAATCTAAGGAAAAAGCACAGTTTTTTCTCTACATTCAAAAGTTTCTTTTAAACTGTTTGTGTTACAATGGACACAGCAGAAATCAAAAGAATAATCAGTAACTAATATGAACAGTTATATGGAAACAAGTTCAACAATTTAGAGGAGATGGACAAATTCCTACAACTCTACAATCACCCAAAGCTAGATAAAGAAGAAATAGAACACCTAAACCGACCAATTACAAGCAGCGAAATTGAAATGGTAATCAAAAACCTCCCCCAAAACAAAAGCCCAGGACCTGATGGATTTACAAATGAATTCTACCAAACATTTAGAGACGAATTAGTGCCTATCCTTCACAAACTCTTCCAAAAAATTGAGAAGGAAGGGACAATACCAAACACGTTCTATGAAGACAACATTACACTAATACCAAAACCGAACAAGGACAACACAAAAAAGGAAAACTACAGGCCAATCTCCCTAATGAACACTGATGCAAAAATCCTCAATAAAATTTTAGCTATCAGAATCCAACAATGTATCCATAAGATAATTCACCACGACCAAGTAGGATTCATTCCAGGGACACAGGATGGTTCAACATCTGAAAATCAATCAATGTTATCCAACACATCAACAAAAAGAAATATAAAAACCATATGATAATATCAATAGATGCTGAGAAAGCTTTTGACAAAGTGCAACACCCATTCATGATAAAAGCCCTTGAAATTCTTGGAATACAAGGAACATACCTCAACATCATAAAGGCCATATATGACAAGCCAACAGACAGTATCATTGTCAATGGTGAAAAGCTGAAAGCAATTCCATTAAGATCTGGAAACAAGACAAGGATGTCCACTCTCACCACTGCTTTTCAATATAATACTGGAAGTCCTAGCCAGAGCAATAAGACAAGAGAAAGATATACAAGGAATCCAAATAGGAAAAGAAGAAGTCAAACTATCACTATTTGCAGATGATATGATAATATACATAGAGAACCCCAAAAACTCCACAGAAAAGCTAATTCAAATAATCAATCAGTTCAGTAAAGTGGCAGGATATAAAATCAACACGCAAAAGTCAGTAGCCTTCCTATACACAAACAATAAATCTGAAGAAGAAGAAATCAAAAAAACCATCCCTTTTATTATCGAAACAAAAAAATCAAATTCTTGGGAATAAATCTAACAAAAGAGGTAAAGGACCTATACAAAGAAAACTATAAAACACTGTTAAAAGAAATAGAAGAAGACACAAAAAAATGGAAAGACATCCCCTGCTCATGGATTGGAAGAATAAACATTATTAAAATGGCCATCCTACCAAAAGCAATATACAGATTCAATGCTATTCCAATAAAAATTTCAATGTTATTCTTCAAAGAAATAGAACAATTATTGATGAAATTCATATGGAATCACAAAAAACCCTGAATAGCCAAAGCTCTCCTGAAAAAAAAAAAAGAAGGGAATGGAGGCATCACACTCCCAGACTTTGAACTATACTACAAAGCCATAATCATCAAAACTGCATGGTATTGGAACAAGAACAGACATACAGACCAATGGAATCAAATAGAAAATCCAGAAATAAACCCACAGATTTATGGTCAACTAATATTTGACAAAGGAGCAAAGACTATGCACTGGAGCAAAGAAAGTTTGTTCAATAAATGGTGCTGGGAAAACTGGGTCGCTACATGCAAAAGAATGAAGCTTGACCACTACCTCACACCATACACAAAAATCAACTCAAAATGGATTAAAGAACTAGACATAAGAGCTGAAACCATAAAATACATAGAAGGAAATATAGGCGAAACACTACGTGATATGCACACAAAGACATCTTTACAGACACATCACCCAAAGCAATGATAGTGAAGGCAAAGATAAACAGCTGGGACTACATCAAATTAAAGAGCTTCTGCACAGCAAAAGAGACAATAACAAAAACAAAGAGAAACCCCACCAACTGGGAGAACATTTTTGCACACAACACTAATGATAAAGGACTGATCACAAAAATCTGCAAAGAACTGATGAGACTCAACAACAACAAAGAAAATAATCCAGTCAAAAAAATGGGCAGAAGAGCTAAAAAGAAACTTCTGTGAAGAGGAAATGCAAATGGCCAACAGGCATATGAAAAAATGTTCAACATCACTTGCAATCAGGGAAATGCAAATCAAAACTACCATGAGATACCATCTCACACCAGTGAGAATGGCACATATTAAAAAAACTAGCAACAACAAATGTTGGCGAGGTGTGGAGAAAAAGGAACTCTCCTGCACTGCTGGTGGGAGTGCAAACTGGTCCAACCACTATGGAGAGCTGTGTGGAGATTTCTGGACCTACTAAACATAGAGCTTCCATATGATCCAGCAATTCCACTCCTAGGTATTTACCCAAAGGACACAGAAACATCAATTCCAAAGAGCACCTGCACCCCTATGTTTATAGCAGCACTGTTTATAATAGCTAAGCTTTGGAAACAACCCAAATGCCCAAAAATAGATGACTGGATCAAGAAGATGTGGTACATATATACCATGGAATATTACTCAGCATTCAAAAAAGATAAACACATGCAATTTGCAGCAACATGGATGGCACTGGAAGGGATCATGCTCAGCGAAATAAGCCAGAAAGAAAAAGAAAAATACTGGATGGTCTCACTCATAGCAGGAATCTAGAGAACTTAAATAAGGGACCAGGAAAATGAATAACTATAAGAGAGTGAAAATCAAAATCAACAAAATAACTCTGAACCAGAGACACTCTATGGGGGGTGGGGGGGGGAGGGATTGGGGTCAAAATAAGGGGGTTGCAATTGTATGGGGAATATAAAAAAAAAGAAAAAAAATGTTTGTGTTAGTTTATTAGTCACAGGGCTATAAATGTAACTACATATGTCTTTGAATTCTTAGTAAATGACCTTGTCTCATACAAACACAAACATAAGCAAGTAAAAGAAAACTGTCAAATAATATTTGCGATAGCATGAGTTCCATTTAATGAATAACCTCTTTCATTATACTGATAAATTATCAACAATTATTATAGAAATTAACTATAAGAGAGCATAGCTCTATTGTTGATTATTACCAAAACAAAGGATATTATATGCTGCTTGGTCTTTAATAAAACAGGGATAAAGCAAGGAAAAGTAAGAAACTATATCAGTGACTTTATTATTAAGTACAGTGGTACTTAATACCTTTAAAAATTTAATCCCCCAGATTTCTTTTGCAACAAAACTGTTTACATGTCTTAAAAGACTTAAAATCAAAATGTCTATTCATGTTCACTTTGTGGTATAATTTTGGTATTTCAAGGGTAGTTAAGATACGAAAAGCATAAAGGGAAACTCAAGTTTCAATTATATAAAATGACAATAATACTAAAAAAGTTTCATTATTCAATTTGTAATCTCATAATAATATAAGGATTTAAATAATCTTTAGCAATTTAAGATAGCTGTTAAAGTTGATTCTTAATTGAATCACTAATAAGAGTCAGGAGTATAAATAAAATAAGAGCATAAATGAATTTAAGAAAACTATATTTGTTGGGAGAGCAAATTAAAAGACAGGAGACATTGGGGGCCTTCCTGGTGGCTCAGGGGGTTAAGTCTCAGCACCATGAAGCTATTGCCAGCCACTGCAGCACAAGTTCGATATCCAGCTAGGGAGCTGACTCACATGGTGCAGCAGACCTCTCCTGTCTTGCCTGCTGCTCCCCTCAGTAGTGTATTTCAATATATCTGCCTGTTGTTCTCCTCACTCTATCTCTGGTGATCCTCTCACCAACCCTCCCACCCCCACTTTTGGCCTACACCCCAGCTCTTGTATGCATAAAAATCTTAAAAAAAAAAAGGAGACAGTATCATTTGTGATACTGTTACTGCATTCATCTCCTAAAGGATGTTGATGCCTTCCTCAGTTGCAAAAAAGAAAGAACCCCATCTTGAAAATAAGGAAAAAGATATCAACATATTGTTCATGATAGTAAAGGACTTTGAGAATAATAAAAGCAAAATCAAACCAAAATGGCAACCAATTTTCATGGCTGTAAATGCCTGATGGACTGTCAAGTGCTGGTAGAAGTACAATTAGCCATTTTCTTTTTCCTTCATTGCTATCCTTAGGGTTGCCTCATTGAACCTGCAGTAAATCTCTGACCCCATGGCTATCTCTTGCTTAAGTAGGAAGCAGTGAGTACTGATAAGACCACTGAACATTCTTTTTTGAAACACATAAGACAACTCTGTACTCTTAGAATTAACATCGAAAGAGACATTATTAGTAAAGTCTCGATTATTCAGTCCTATCTAAGAATCACAAATATACAATGCTCAGTCAAGAGAACTTGGGAGTGTTTTCTAGGTAAAGAGGTTTTAGAACTCTGCAGAGCATACCTTTTTTACAAGAGGAGGGACATGAGGTCCAGTCACTATACGGGGTCACAATACAGTCCTTTCTACAAGGAAGCAGACAGGGCCTCACAGTTTCTGGCCGAAGGCTCTCAGGACACCTAGAAAAGCAAAGGGACATTACCTAGCTTCCATAGCAATCCAGAAAAATAAGTTATTTCTATCTTCAAGGTTCTCATTGCTAAAATTTCTAAACAGCCATCAATCTATATTATTTAACTTTCAAGAGTCTTTCTATTTGATAAGTTATATCACTAAATTAATTCTTCCAAACTGAACTTTAATAAAACTCAAAGGTATGTGAAAATTTAATAACAACAATTATGTTATCTAACAAAAATTTAAAATGCTGTAATTATTTCTTATCCCTTTATAACAATTTTCCTATTAGGAGATAAGTATTTGCTAACATTTTTATAAGAAATTTGTGGAAATTCAAATAGCCGGCTTAAGGTCCCAATTATACATGTTTGGTAATGAAACAAGCATAATGACAATCATGTTTCCAATTCATTATCACTATTAAGAAGAACATATGTATAGCATAAAATAAACTTATAATGGAGTATATTCTCTATATAATACATGCTCAATGAACAATATTGTATTTTTAGCTATATAATTTATAATAAATAAAATTATAAGCAGTTTTTGTTTTATTACTTTGTTAAGCATCTCTAACCATTTTTTCTTCCATTTTTACCTAAGTTCAAAATGTAATTTTAAAATATTTTTAATAGGTTTATAAATTACAAAATTATATTTGAAATAAAAACAGCAACTATAAATAAAACAAACATAATCAACTGAATAAAAAATAAAATGTTTTTTGGCAAAGATTACAGCAAATTAACTAAATCTTAAAAATATAGCAATATAGCAAAATATATTATCTATTGGGAAGAGTAAAGTAATATAAAGACAAAGCACTAAAATATCTGATTTTCTAATTTTCTGTCATGTTTTCACTTCCTAAGAGATAATTTTAGATAGTATATGGGTTTTCAATATACTGTCTGTTTATTGTATATTTCCCATATGATTTTTAAGTTTCCCAATTCTCTGATTCTACTATTGCTAGTGGTCAAATGTTGACTGTGAGTATGAATATCTGAAGAAGGTGCATTTAAGAAAAATAAATAGAGCAACTTAACTGATGTAACTAAAGTTAGCAGTGTTTTGATTACTAAGAAATTCTCTTTTAAGTCATATAAATCTGACAAGTAAGCTAGGAGGAGTGAAGAAAAAAACAAACAGCCATTATAACTTTATAACTGTTGCAAGAATAACTTGGCAAATTAGTGAAAAATGAGATTTAAGAATAATCTCCATGGGAAAAGCCAATTTCTTTTTAGGTCAAAGTAAATTGTCTTTTAACAGGTTAATCATGTTTTCAGAACTGAACTATAAGTGGAAAAAAAAATCCACGCCATTAATTTCCTTCCCATAATTTCTTTGGTGACAGTTCATTTTTGATACAGCTTGTATTATAATTATTTATCTACATGTCCTACCTCATATATAAATATTCTATCCTATTTAATTATATAGATACATGCTTTCTTACCTCACTCTGTAACACTGGGGTCTAATTGGAAGTGGATTTAAAAAATATTGGAATAAACATTTCAAAAGAAAGAATCTTCTTGGATAATGTTAAGGATAAACTTGAATTTCTTTATTGCAATTGCAAAGTAATGGACAACAAAGAAATGCAGATGTGAATCACAGAAGTTAATGTATTATGACAACTGAGACTATAAATCACTACTTAGTGTTTATTTAGCTTCATAATTTAACCTGTGTTCTTACCCAGGAAACATTATATGACAAAAATCTGCATAAAATCCTGCTATTTTGGAATTATAGAATTATTGATTAGCAATTATTATTAAAAAGCATTCCTTTTCAATGAAGCAATTTCATAACTTTGACAATGAGAAAAGCATTCCATAAATGATTGCTCCTCAAACTTTAGTTCTAAATAAATCAGTAGAATACCCAATGTTATCATTGACAACCTCCAAATTTCCCTTTTAGTTTAGAAATATCCACAGCAAGATACTTGGCTAACTGTGGAGAACAAAATTACTAACAACAAAGCCGTTAAATGAACACACAAAGATAAATTACACAGCTTAGATTACATCTAATAAAATGAATTCAGACTTCCTTTGGTGAGGCAATTGGTTTAGTCAACATGCTTCTTTTTTCCTTTGTATTGTTTGTATTTAGTGTTTGTGGTTTAAATCAAGGAATTGATTTCCTCCCAAATCTTATTCAAGGTCAAATTAAACAGATGTGATAGGAGTTGAAGTTTGTTACTCAGAGGATAGATAAGATCAATAACATTGATTTTACCATTGCACAGTAATCTGTTTTATTAAGAGGAGTTTAAAACAAGGTTTCTATTTGCATTTTTGCTTCAAATGCCTAGTACTGAAAAGCGATCAAGGAATTTAACCTCTGAAATCAGGAGAAGGGCAGGAAAACATCCTTTCGAATTCACAGTAATTACTTAACTTTTCAGAACTCTAAGAGAAAAGTAAATCCATTTTCTTTAATAAATTTATACATGTATCCAGGTCATTGAATAAAGACTGCAAGGGCAAAGCAAATTTTTAATGGATTACTGCAATGGTCTGACATGTGCTTCAGGATACCCTTTCTGTTGAGTGATTTAATGACTTAAATCCAGCAGGCTCTTTCACATAAGCTTGTATACATGCACATCCATTACTCAGCACAATATTTTGAAGTTTGAATGAGAGAGAAAAATGTCAACTGCAACATCTGAAAGGTGATTGGCATCTGAGAAAGAGTGAGCTGATTAATAGTTGCTCAGCATAACAACTCTCTACCCTGTGCCACTAAGGTTGGTTAAGTTATAAGCTTTTGTAGGGTACATTTCTCTCTGTGCTTGTCCCAGCAAGACACAGAACCCTCCAGAACTTGGAATTCCTGTTGTTATTGTTTCTGAATTTTAATAATACACTGCACATTTATTTCCTTAGATTCATCACAACCACAGCATCACTTCTATTAAAATGCTGGTTTGGGGCTACCTATTAAATATATGGGATAGTTTCCCAATTTATTCAAATCTTTTGGCATACATTTCTAATATATTTCCTAATTTCAAACTATATCAACAAAGTACAGGGCAAAGCATCCCTAATGCCTGGAGTCCTGGCCAGATAAAAACAACTCATAATGTGATTCTTACTCATCCCCTGGAGTTTTCCATATGCAAGTACATTATTACTATTTTCCTGAAACACTAAGAAGTATCTCAAATTTTAAGGTGAAAATGACAATTTCTCAGATTTAGTGAGTGCTTATGTCAAATTTTCCACATTAAATTCTTTCAATGAACTTTGAGAGCTGAGGCGAGGATTAGTTATCTATGTAGCATAGATAATACCATATATAATATTTAAGCACTTGAACAATTATTTGGCTATTTTTATACCAGTGCAAAACTGACTGTACTTTTCCTGTTTCACACAGCTAAGGTGACTTGAATTTTAAAAGATTTATGCAGTTTAAAACTTAAAAGATAAAGAGTTTTTATTTTTTTTCCTGTTAAAGGAATATACTTTGAGTGAATGCACTCATTTTCTCTGAGGATTGATTATCCCAGTGATGCCATGACTTGCTTTTATTTATATTTTTTATAAGGCACACATACATGCCATCTCTTTAGTTCTTTGTCCTCTTTTCTCAAATCCTTTGCCTTATTATTAAACTATTCATAGTCACAATGAGGAGCTGATGGTTTTTCTACTTATCAGAATACTCGTCCTATCCCAAGGCTCCTCTTGGAAGTAAACGGCTTGGTCTTTTAACCACTGAAAGATGCAATAACTTTGGCTACAATATTTTTGATCTAGTATTTTCTGGGGGAAATGAAAGGCAGATCATGGAAGGCTACTACCCAATTAAACTATACAGGCAGCTACTATTGCCTATGGGCATGTAGGAGGTCATGGATGACCTGCCCTTCTAGGACTTTCTATGCTGTCATTATTGATCAGCCAGGCCCATAGCAAGCACTTATCTCCCTGTCTCACTAGCTTAATAAAAGCTGGAAGTGCTATGATAAAAGTGAAAGTAAATATCAGATAGAAAGAATTTACAGAATTTATGGTTCCCAGGTATAAGTCTCTGAAGCTGTTATAACTTTATTAGTGGTTGATGTAGACAAATCTTACTCTTGAGGACAGGTATGCTGAGCATCAAAATGCCCCCATTTTATGAAATAAGTGAGGGGAAGTGATCACCCTTGCGAGAGCGATCACAGAATTTACTTTCATCAATTTAAATCCCTTACTTTTTGGGTCCCACTTGGCCCACATTGACCCGCACACAGATGACTTTTCTTGTCTGCATGCCGACAGAGCAAGAGGCCTCCCCATTCCAAGTTGTAGTTGTGTTGAAAGCTGACACTGAGGTGTCCTCGATGCACTGGCCCCAGGGACCAGTCTGCCAGTGGTACACAGTACAGGGATGGTCATTACAGCTGCGCACCTCTTGCAAAGCACTGCTGTTGGGACAGTGAGATCCACCTATAAGGATGGACAAGGTAACAGATTAGAAACAATGCCTCCAGGAAAGCTTCCATTCTCTGTTCCTTAGAATTAACCAGGCTAACAATTATACCTGTCACTTATTTAGCTTATAGCATGTACCAGCACGCTGTCAGGAATGCAAATTGCAAATTAATCTTACTTAATTTGGCAGGGTGTTGAGTCCCAAGTCAGGCCACCCCAAGATAAGCCAAAGTAGCATATCGATTATTTGAATTAAAGAAAGGGTAGGCGAATGAATCACTCCCTAAACCTCCCTTAATCCTTTAGGAATAAAACAGGAATTCTCTATGACCCTCTTTTTTGTTTCCCTTCAAAGCAGTAAATAATCTTTTATGTAAGATGCTCTCCCAGCTCAGAGATGGAGACACACTTATGAGAAACGGAAAGAAAGTTGTGTAAATAAGCTCTTCACAGTTTTTGTTTTTTGCTTCTTTGTCTAAAAGATATTTAAACTGGCTATTTTAGTCATTCACAAGGTTCTATATCTTATGGACCCTGTGGGCACAAAATCAAAATTGTCTTTTGTCTTTCTAGTTTCTTTCCTATCAAATGGTTACTAGGCCAACCAAAGGAACCAAAAGAGGTTAGGAGAGATCTTCTAGAGCTTTCCCCTGGGTTAATTTAAACTATGTGGTGTATTTTGAATGTGTTTTGGGGACTATGGAGAACCTCAAAGAGAGATGAAGCTGAAGATGTATGAACGGAGTCTATGTGATATGTGATTGCTAAGAATGTGGGTTTTCTATGTTATTCCCCAGACTGAAAATTTTATTTGCAAGTTTCAAAGTTCTGCTTGTTTTAATTGCTTACGGATAGTTAGAAACAGAGGTTTTAAAGTAGAATGATACTTTTTGAATTTTCAGAGTATTACTGGAAGAGTCACATAGTAATAATACTTTCTATCTTTAAATCTAAGATGTCATTGGTTGGGTGACAGAAAATACTTTTTTGAGTCACAAAAAATGAAATGGTTGTAATTTAAACTATGAAACAATGCTTTCTGATTAATTCAATTTTTTATTACATGCTTATTGGAATAGCTTTGTGTGACTTATTTACATAGTTTTTAAAAATACACATTAAAAGGGAAAGCATTCTTAAAACTTCTTTATACTGAATTCAAATCTTATGTTTTTTTAAATCACTTTAACTCATATTCATCAAAGGTTATGTTCTCCTACACAAGGTCATATCCTGTGGCATCAAAAATGGTGGTGATGCAGGATTTCTTAAAAAGAGTGCTTCCTAATTTCTAGGGTTTTCTTCCGGGATGCTGGTAATCCCTCGATAAGGATTATGTAGGTAGGATCCCATTTTGTATAGCCAGATGCCCTCTGAGTTAAAGTTACAAAGCAGATGAGCTTGTGCAGTTTAAATGTGGCTCTGGTAGCTGTTAGGACTTTATGGAGTCCAGATTCTTAACACTGTACAATTCATAATATGAATTATGAGGAAAAATATGTGAAAGTACAAAATATTGAAGGAATTTATTACTTGCTTTACTGACAATTTGATCTATTCAAACTTATGAAGCCTCTGAACAGAATAAAACTGGCTGTTAATGAGCAATTTTAATGTTAATATTTGTGATAGTAAATGGGGGAAATGTTGACTATAATTATAGGGCAGCCTTTAGATCTAATGAAAACAAGTTTCAAAAAGTTAGAATAAAGGAAAAGTGACTCAACAGTTAGAGATCCTAAAATGGAACATGATCCAAGAAGTTTGAGAACTGTGTAAATTCTCCCTGGGCTGGTCAGGTGCACTTCACTTATAATTAAGGACATCCCTCTGTTCAGCAAATAAATTAGTAGGTAGTTAATGTGAGAATTTGACTGTAATGTAGAATCATTTATGCAGCATTGAACATGGGATCAACATCAGAATAACCTGCATTAAACAGCATTTCATGGTGAAAACATCTGTCACAGTTCATATCCTATCCTTCATCACACAGCTCAATGACTGTGGCAGCTTCTGAAAAGAAGTTTAGTATTTGAATAGGAAAAAATCCTAAAACATACTAATTGGATCGAGGAGAAGTAAATGAGCACTCTCATTACTCATCCCCTGAGGCTCTAGATTTTCTCCAATTTTATCTCCCAAACATGCTAATTTTAGACATATATTAATATATACATATATATACATACATACATATACACATGATTTTTATATAACCATTCTAGCCATACCTTTATATTTAATAGCAAAATCACTGATCTTATACCAAAAAAATGTGCTTTTCTTACTGTATATTTATTGTGCATACATATGCTGTTTAAGCTGCAATTTAAAAACTCTGAGTTGTTTTTGACATTGGAATTGACTGGTTGTCTTTGGAAAAAATGGAAAGAAAAAACTTTTACAACATCAGCATAATGTGTCAAGGAATTGCAAGATAGCTGTTAAGTTTACAGACATAAAGACTATTTATTTTCTTGTGCCCATCTACATGAATGCCACATCAGCAGTTTGGGTCTGATGTCAGGATACTTGCACAGATAAGCCCCAATGTGGTCTTAATTATAACAGCGACAGGGTAATTTCGAAAGCATGGTTTCAAGTAATCAGTCATTGACAGTCTGGTCATGTTATTTTGGGAATAACTTTATGATAGAAAAATTTGTAGATGTAACATTGATTTTTTTATTATTTATGGGAAGTTCTAATTCCAATATCTGAGAATATTTCTGTAATACTTGGGAAATGGTAAAATGTGACTCAAGACAATGAGAACTAACTGTATTTTTTAAAGGAAACCTTTTGAAAGAATTTTATATACTTCATACTCACATGCCTATTTAGGCTTTCTATCACACCAAAGGGGAAGACTTTATAAGACCTTGATGAAGTTCTGCTTTATAAATAAACTTCCACGCTCATATAAAAACCAAGTATGATATGAAACTTCTTTCTTAGATACGAAAAAAGTGACTCAAAAAAAAAAAAAGAAAAAAGTTACTTTTTCCTTCCTCCACAAAAGATTTCTCAGGATAAATTTCAATAGTTACAGTGTTTCTGGTGCCAGCACTGAAGTCCTTACAATTTAGATGGCAGACGGAACAAAAAGGAGACATGTTCAAAACATTAATGGCACATCTATGTTTTGAGTACACAGAGCAATATTTATGTTAGATGCTTTGTATGGTACCCACAGGGCTTGAGAAACAGTTTCTACTACTCTCAAGAATCATGTAATACAGCGGAAAAAAGTAGTATGGAACATAAAATAAGCATACAAATGAGTATAATTCCAGGTAGAATATCATGCTTAACACTAAAAGAGATACTTAGCATAATTGGAATTCAAAAGTAAGTGATTCCATTAATTTTCAGGGACAGAAAAATGCCTCAGACCAGGAGGCACTGAAGTGAATTTTGAGGCAGAAAGATTTCCAGTTCTGGGAAGGGAGAATTTTATTTACACTGAAGAAAAAACAAATAAAAGCAAAGCATGAAGGCAGATATGACCTTGGGAATTAGCGATAATGATGCACTGAATTGGAGTGCAGAGTTCACATGGGGAAGTAACTGGTAACAAAGATAATGAAGTGGCCAGGACTCATGTTAAGAAGAAACTACTAGAGTATTACGAATTGCAGCTTTAAGGTGCTCTACAACTTTGCCTGAGACTGCAGCCTAAATCTGTTTGATAGCAGACCACTGCTGGGTGAATGCACAGTGGCAATGGCGTGATTTGGGGGAACTGAATTAGCCACACACAGCCTCAGAGATTCTGTGGTAGCATGCCCTACTACCCTGTTCACTGCTACTCCTTTCTTAACTTACAGAAAGAGGTGGAAGATATCCCACTATGGAAAATGCTTAAATCCTATGAAAACAGGTTGAAACAAAACTTTTTTTTTTCAAAAGTCAATAGAGGCAGGATGAGGATGCGAAAGTATTTAGTATTTTTTTTTTTAAGATTTATTTATTTATACAAGAACCGGGGTACAGGCCAGATGTGAGGGAAGGTAAGAGAATTCACCAGAGACAGGGGGGAACAGACCAGGCAGATTGACTGAAATACACTGCTGAGGGGAGCAGCGGGCAAGGCAGGAGAGGTCTGCTGTGCCATGTGGGACCCTCACTGGCCGGTAGGGATCCAGCCAGCGCTGCAAAGGCTGCAGACAGCTTCACAGTGTTGTGCTCAACCGCCTGCGCCACCAGGGGAGGCCCGAAAGTATTTAGCTTGAAGCCAGTGTTATATATGTGAGCATTCAATATAATAGATCTTTGGGTTCTTCAAATTCCTCTAGGAAATATATAAGTGCCCCTTGGTTCTTAAGGATTAAAATCATTTAGCTATAAAATTTGAACAAGGGCCTCCCCGGTGGCGCAGCGGTTGAGCGCTGGGCTGAGAAGCTGCTCACAGCCTCTGCAGCATTGGTTCGATCCCTGGCTGCAGATGAGGGTCCCACATGGCGCGCAGACCTCTCCTGCCGCCCTCTGCTCCCCTCAGCAGTGTCCTTCAGTCCTTCTGTCTGCTCTGCTGCCCGCTCTCGCTCTGGTGAATTCTCTCACCCTCCCGTGCTTCTGACTGTACCCAGTGCTTGTATAAACAAACAAACAAACAAATAAATAAAAAACATAAAAAAAAATTGAACAAGTTAAAATAGAAAGCCACTTCTCAATGCTTTGATGTATAAAATATAATTTTTGAAGGCTACCAATTATTTGAGGAAAAAATGGCAAAATTATATTTCATTTTGGATCTAGTCTCTGTAAGTACAAAGCAGGTATGAAAACATAACTACATGTGGCTGATGAACTTATAATTTTAGGTCATTCTGAACTTTGCAAAATTAAATAACTTTTATTTCTTGTGCTATAAGGATATTTATCGATACATTATGACTGCACAATGAGAATTAATGCAAGTTGTTATTACACTCAATGGAAAGTATTTTGAAAATATTTTTCCTTTATAAGCCAAGTTTATTTAGTATCTACAATGTAGGTTCAAATCTAACATGATTTTTAAGTATTTGATATAATTCAACTTATTGTTATTTACATTAAAATAGATCAGATTCATGTGTTAAAACTTACTTTCTTTTAATATCTCTCAACATAATTTTAAAGAAGCTTTTGGGGCCCATGCTACAACTTACACAGTACAAAAAAGATTTTTACCTAAGTCATCATAAAATGTTAAAAACTGAATTAATACATTTATTTAAGCAGAAATCAATGCTTAGAAATTTATTTTGATAACAACAACAACAATAAAAAACTAGCAGGCGATCATAAATAAGAGACAAAACGGGAGAGAAGAGCACGAGGGACTATGGTGAAGGTTCACGGTTGAACTGGTGGTAGGAATTTTACGGGGAATACACAATGATGTAAAAGACATAAATAAAAAAATTATAAAAATTATTTTGATGGGGGGGAGAAAGGAATGGGGAAAGGAAGGACTAGAGTCAAAATAAGGGGGGGTGCAATTGTAGGGGACTATAACCAAAATGAAAATGCACACATTGTGCAAAGATGAAAAAAGATGTAAGAATTTTATAAAATAAAATATTTAAATAAAAAATTATTTTGATAACTTTAAAATAAAAAACACATTACAGAAAATTAAGAATATTTATGAAATATAAAAAAAACTAATTGTTGAGGAATAACAGACCAACCTTCTTTTGTGTGTAGAATTATAAAGAATTACCTAATTTGGCAGGAAAACATTTGAAAACGTCCCTGCAAATGTTGTTCATAAATCATTTGAAAAATAGCTCAGAATTATGAAATACTCATTTTGAAGCAAAGAAAACATTTTTCAATGTCTAGCAAATATAGTTATTAAATAGTCTTTGAGGATAAATTCATTATATATGTCATACAATTATACCAATTTTTGTAACTGTTATTAACAGAGACAAATAGCAGCAGATTCCCCATCAAAAGAGTTTCTTCTAAGGTTTCCATTTAAAATGATGTTTTTGAATTCATGCTTTTATGATTTACTATATAAATAGCTATAATTTTCTAGCACGGCTCACTTATGATACAGCTACTTGACTTAATTAAAAATTATTGAAGTCCCACCCTTTAAAACTAAATAGATGATACATATCAAAGAGCAATCATAAATTTCTGCCCTTAAAGCATTTCATGACCTTTCAGTGTGAAGCATCATGTCTATAGAAATAATGATCTGTGAGTTCTGCAAGCAAGGCAAAATCTCTGCCATGTGACTCACAGGGCAGAAAGTCACTCATTACTAGTCAGACAGCAAGTGTCTGTGGAGTATAATGGATTTACAAGAAGCAGGGTGACCACAAATCTAATTTTAATGAAGCCCAAGACATAATCTGAGCTGATAGAGATTGAAGTCTGGATATACTCTGTAGAAGGTTAGACTTACTGTTTGATTAACATAGGAAATAAAATTTTCTCCCTAAAAGGTTCTGTTTTTCTGCTAGGTTCAATAGATACATATTTCTTTTTTGTAGCAAATAGTTACATTTATATTAAAGTGACAGCAAAAAAAGTTTTTGGACACTAAATATTTCCTAAATTTTTCTACAGGTTGACTGTTTTAAACATGTAAAATTATTCTCTCACATCTGAAGGTCAAGGTAGTTACCTTTTTGTGTGCAGTTATTACATATACAGACAGGAAGTTTGCCCAAATCCGAATAATATCAGTGTTCTATCACAAAAATTCTTCATGAACAGGAAATAAAGATACAAAAATTGTTAAAAAAATACTATTATTTATATTACTACATCAATAGCTATAATTTTCTAGCACAGCTTACTTTTATTTATAATTATATATAATTATTAAAATTATACAGGATACAGGCATCCAGAAAACTCAAAACTGATAGCTTGGAAATGTACTTAAAGAAACATAGACTTACATCAATAGAAATCATTATCAGTATTAAATGTGAATGAGGAGAAGTGTGATTTAGCTTGATAATATTTAAATAACATACACTTATATTCTTGAGACCGAACAAGGCTAAATATGCTAGAATTTGCTTTACTTCTATGCTTTCTTTACTTCTGTGTTATTTTCCAAAATGACAAGATTAAGTATGACATTATATCACCCAGTCACAGAGAGGCCACATTAGCATTTCGATATAAGCTTGAGAGACAATTACCAAGAGCCTTGTATTTCTTGACAATAAAGCTTGCACAAGTGAGAGATGAATACATGAAAAAACATCCTTTATTCCCCCAATAAGGAGAAGTGACTTAGGAACAACATATTCTAAAAATGAGCACAATCTATAAATGGAAATTCTGCATCTCAGAGCCTATGTTCAGACACCTGAAGGTAAAAAATTCCATGCAATTTTCAGTCATGATGTTGTTTATTAAAACAAAAAAACAACTTTTATAATTGGACTTATATGTCTATTTATGAGATGTGAGAGTGTGATTTCAAAGGGAAAAACTGAGTATAAAATGCAGAAAAAATAATGAATCCTGACACCTGGAATTTTGGGGGCCATTTTCAGATCTTTTCACAAGGTTAACATTTTGAAGTGGAAAGAACGTGAATTATGTGGAGGGAGTGAAAACAAAGTGATTTCACTTTACAAAGTCTTTCTGCTTTTATTAAAGGTATATTTTTAAGATCAATTTTGGGGAACAGAATTAGAATGCCCAATATGTCCACAAATATCAAATCTCTCTGGCTTGCTGGATTTCTGGAAGTAGATTTTTTTTTTTGTAGAACATTATATTATCCAGGCTAAACAAAGAAAATGTATGTCAACTTCTGACAGGAACCAAAGTCCCTTCTGCCCTTCTGAAGGTGGTAGCCTTACCTTCCTCACCAGGATAGGCCAGAATGGACCGTGCACGTATCTGTTTCCCTTCTGTGGTTTTCCCCGAGCAGGTGTGTGAGCAGGAGGACCATGTAGACCACGTGCTGAGGACACAGTCCTTGGGGCAAGGGACATCACAGGCGACGGGGATAGGAAAGATGGCATCTCTGCACAGCTGTCTGTCAACTTCTTCACCTGGGAAAGACATCATCACCCACAGTCTGTTATCTTTAAATGAATATAAAATGAACCATTGAATCTGCATACCCAGAAAAATTGGATTATTTTCCTTTAGTTTTTAGAAAAATCAAAATGAAAAGATTTGCCTTTTCAGTCTTGAAAAGACTACTACAGTCCAATGTTAAAAGAACACAGAACCAGGAACACAGAGAACAGTAATTCTGGGTGACATAACATAAATGTGTGCCTTGGGCATTAAGGTGAGAAAGAGTGACTACGCTATTCTTCATTGTTACTAGACAAACAACTCCAAGTCATTTCCCATTGATGGAAGGTTAAGAGTTCCTTATTTGTATATTTCAAAAATAAGACAGTCAGAAGTTAACTGGAAATATGCGATGTGTCAATAGCTACTATTTTTCTGGGCCTTAAATCCTGACACAAAATCGGAAGTCAATTGGAATGCATTTATATATTAATAGTTACTAGTTTACAAGGTTTCAAATTGTTAGACTTGCTCACTATTAAGTAAAACTCACTAAAATGACAATTAAATCATTATATCTCTCATTCTTCAGGTGCTTTCAAGTTCAGAAATCTGAATGGTGAAAAATCCATGTAATTTTCAGTCAAGGAATAGTCATGATTCATGGATGATAGCCATGATGCATTCTTTCAAATTACACCCATTGAATTACACATAAAAATATTTCCAGGTGATTTATATAATCATGGAGGAATATGGTCTAGAGTGTCTTCTTAATTCTTTATGGCTTTAGGGTTTTGGCCATATCCTAATACAACAATATGACAGACTGCAGTTATACAGTAGATAAAATACAAAAATCATTATAATACAAAGCATTTATTATTTTAAAATTTACATAACAATGACTCTTTTTCCTGCTAGACTTTTTTGTTTTCTCAGCATAAAGGGAAGCTTTAATATGTCCTATTTACTCTTTCTCTTTTGTTTCTTATATTCTATGGAGAGAAAGCAAGTTTGAAGCTACAGCTTATAGTTAACCAGGATTGATAGCTTTGTACCTTCTCTAATAGTTAATCATTTCTATTCAGAAATTTTAATTCTTTCTGCAGCAATTGAGAGTTTGCTATTAGGTCAATTTGTATTTTGTGATTTATTTTTGTATGTTGTAGTGCAAACATAAAAGATGTACAATTTTAATCTTTCTTGCTTTTCCACTTCTTTTTCCCCCAACCTGTGTCCTATACCTTATTTTAAGTATTTTCATTCATCTGGCTCAGGTAGGCACATTCCTTTTAGAGTAAACTTTTATCCTCTATGAAGTTGTTTAAATCACCTTGGATCCAAACTCCAAGATTTCCTTAGATTTTAGTTATGTGATTTAACTACCTTTTCCGCTTATTTTCACAGAGACAGCAGAGTATGATAACTGTCAGTGAGTCAAATAACCCGAACGTGCACAGAAGAGACCAACCATATGATGAACTCTAAGCCAAATGGAGCCAAGAGACTGCCACATGGAACCAAGAAGACAATAAGTATAATAATACTATAAGTATAATAATATCATATCTAAGTATAATATTTTCTAAATTGCCATGCATTCAAATGCTCCAGTACTTTGTTAAATATTTTATTCAGTGGAAAGTCAGTATATGTATCACCCAAACTTTGCTAGAAATGCATTTTTTCAGATCATAACTATTAAATCATGCATTTGGAAAATATTCCCAGGTGAAAAAAAAATATTCCCAGGTGATTCATATACTCATAAAATCTGAGAAATCAGTGCTCTAGGATTATTCTGCCTATGTTTTCTTGTGCTTTAATTAGAACCAGGCTACCTCCTGAAAAGGTAACTTAGAAAATAAATTCATCTGGACTTCATACCTACCATTACTTGGTGTTCTATGGGATTTCTTTTTAGACAGAGTATGTGTAGATGAAAACATTAATTCTTTGAACAGTGATCACCTTTTGTCAGCCACTATGAATATTATATGTATAATGTTAGTTAATTATCGCAAACTTCTCATGTAGATACTAGTCTATATTTTTTATTTTAAAGGAAATTGAAGTTGAACAAATTTAACCGTGTTAAATAGTAGATGTTTACTAAAGAAGAAACTGAATTAAGTTCTAACCAATTCTCAAACCTAATTTTTAACTGGTATGGTGACAGGGAGAATTTGTGATAACAAGGGAGTTAGTTAATAGATGAAACTTTGTTTACAAAGTCAAGAAACCAGCACTCCAGTTGTTTTTCAATGCACAGTGCTGCATAGTGGCAACCATACTCTTCCTTGAATACAAAGAGTATGTGTAGTCAGGTGTTGCTTAATGATGCTATGGTCACTGACAAGCTGCATATATGATGATTGTTCCAACATTATCATACAATGTAAGTGTGTAGAAGACTATGCCATTGAAGCTTGTGTAATTACACTTTACAATGTTCACACCCAATGAAATCATCTAACGACACATTTTTCAGAACATATTGTCATCATTAAATGACATATAACTATACTGTTGACATGTTCAGGGTTATAAATTTTGTTTTAGAGCCACTGAACAAGCATCAATGGATAGGTGAGAATATAGGATCTTTCAAATCTTTGACTTTACTTGCAATGAGTACTTCTGTACCTAAGTTAATTGAACACTAACTGGAACCCTTAGGAGTTGTGGTCTTTTTAAAGTAAATCTCCAATATTCCAAACATAAGTCATGTGGGAAACACTAAGCAATGCCCGCCCTCCTCCAAAAAAAAAAACAAAAAACACTTGGGTCTATGACTATCACAAGCAACTCCATAATTTGTCATCTTCAGCTATTTTTTGAGATTGTTACTTTTCTCAATTTTTTAAAATCTGATCCTGGAAATAAGGTATTTACTTGTAAGAGCTGCAGAAAATAATTTTATCCATCTTCCTCACATTAAAGCCTGTTTTTGTTTAATAAAAAATACTTTAATTAGGTGAGAATCATTTGGCATTATATTTCATAGAATATATTGCAATAAACAAGTATATATCCAAATATCTTCCCAAATAGAGAAGTAGAAATCTTGCTGCTTAACACTTTGGAAATTCCATTATTTCCATATAGCTGCCCTACTGTTAGGACATTTTCAACCTCCATATGTCCCCATTATAGAACCATTTGAGACACTGATTATCTGCATGCGCATTCCAATAAATCTGGGCAGACACTTCCATTATCATTACAGTGAATGATGTAGTTCTACATCTCATACAGGCACAGACTAATGCAACATGATTTTCCTTTCTGTAGTCTAAGAACAATTCCTTTGCTAGATTATGAATGTGACGTCATAAAAATTGAGAATCTTGTTCACACTTTCCTTGTTATATTAAACATACTATTTTGGGGTACATAATAGTAACATAAAGAGTTTCAAAGGATTGCTTTACATTTTTATAACTTGTTGTTTTTTTTATTCCCTCAATGAAGCTCTAGGCATTTTAACCAAACCTGGAAAAAGGTATGATTTACATGAAATATATGTCACAGAACTAAACAAACTATTGTTTACATATTACAACTTACATATAACTCGAAGCATTAGCTGAAGCATAGCTGTTTCAAACTTGTGATACAAATGGTTGGGAAATAAAATGAGAATATTGGTTTATTTATTTTTATGAAATCAAAGCCAGATTTAAATGTTTAAGCTGATATCCCCTAATAATAATTCATCATTTCCATCAATTTTAACATGTATTTTGACATCATCAAGAAATCCTCAGTTTTCCCCTTGTTTAGTTTATTTTCATGAACATCACCAAACTCTTTCATGAACTTCTCCAAAATAACTCCATTTTACTGCATGTCCTATTATCAGGATAAGAGAATTGAACATCTGCTTGAAATAATTACACTAAAAATTCATGAAGATTTCCATAGAAATAAAACAAAATGAGTGTTGAAATCAGAAGATGAAGATGTTTTTCTGGTAAACTGCAAGTTTATTGCATTCACTGTGCTGGAGCTTAAATGTAATATAAATGATAAACCTTGGTTTATTAAGGTTTTTATAGTTTCAATACTTTTATAGTTTAGGAACTGAGTTTAGGACACAATATTAATACATTGAAAACATAACTAATTGTATTTTAATGTAAGGCATATATATGATTAGCACTATTCTCTAGATGCTTCGTGCATTATCCTGACTTCTTTTTAACCACAGAAATGCACAGATTGTTATGGTTGATTTTTAATAGTCACAGTAGACGATGTGCAATGGACCTTAGAAGGCACTGCAAAATCAAAACTCATCAGTATAAAGGAATTGGAAGTGGGTAACAGAAAGGAGAAAGAAAGCAAAGAGAAGGCAGAAACAGGGCCAAGGTTTTAAAAAAATATTAGTTAAAAAATCTTTAGTATTACAGTTTTGGGATCAGATTTCTCTTATCAGACCTATACAAACCCTATAATAACATAGAATTATTACAGTTGTATATATTTTCTATTATGCAGAGAACATTTTAAAAGTTCACATTGACTTTCATTAGTGAAAGTCATTATTTATGTGTTTATTATTACTGATGACAAAATTCAAGGAAGAACTGACATAGGAAAAAAATGGTGTCTTACATTTGCCTGCACCATTCTAGAAAGCATTTTCGTAAAACCATCTTCACTTTATAACAACTGTAAGACTTATAGTCCAGAAACACTTCCATCTTAAAGAATCATGACTCTTTCTCCCTTTCCCTTCTTATAGAAAAGCTACATGTCTCTTCATCTAAATGGGAAGTTATCAAGTAATTTTTAATCCCTAAACTCTCTTTGCTTACATTCAGGTAGTGAGTCTGATTCAGTGTTCTAAGTATCTCCTGACTCCATAATTTTCTTTTGAACCATTTCATTCTTTCTTTGGTCTCTTGCTGTATCCCATTTTCTCTGAAGTCCATTATCCATCTTGGTCCCAAAGAGTTATTTCTATTTTGCAAATATGAACATCAAAGTCCCAATACCTATTAGCTAAAGTCCATATTTA